CGGTGATGTTTACACATTCTGTTAACTAAAAAGAAGTGAAATAAGCACATTCTTCCTATTGTTGTCTGACCATCTGTCTTGCTTTATCAGTAAACCATAAGTTTCTGTCAAGATGAGGCACTGATCTCACAATACCTATGTGAGTTAATCATCTAATTTTGTGTACCGTGATTTTAACAAAGACAGCGAATTCCTCGAGGTATAAACCATTGAAAATACAATCAGGGTGGGGAACAACCCAGACTATAGGTCTGTGCAAATTGGGAAAGGACTTGCTCACATGAAGTGAGCACTTCCATGGTCTTATTTGTTGATGTTTACAGATATGTAAAATGGGGCATGGTCAGGGTTTCCAGGCCAAAGAGGATGACTAAGAATGTGTACACACAAAATCCTTCAATGCAACAGTGGGTTGCAGTCAGCTTCATAAGAAAGAGAATGAGCTGCTCTTGTTCTTTTGTCCAGAGAGCTAATGTAAAGTTAAGGAGAAATCTATTAGGAGATTTGACAGACATTTCAGTGAAGACTCCAACTTTGATGGCTCCACATTTCCAGTGGTAAACACTGGAACAGATGAGCTTTTTTCAAAGAAGAGGGGAATCATGTGTACGCATATATAACCCTGATAAAAATTGGGCATTTTAGATTATTACAGTCTGCCTGTTCTTCAGTTGTCTTCTCATGAACAGTCACCAGTGTAAGTAAAGTAGAAGTTTTCCCTAGGGACCTTTCTGGGAATATTTGTCTGTGGGAATTCCAAGTTCAGTACTTCATTCTTTTTAGTCAAAACTCTCTACTCCCTAATAACATACACTATTACCATGCAATGCCTTTGCCAGTTAGGATAATGCCTCAGCATTTTGTTTTTAATGTAGACTGATGATTTCTACTTCAGCCACGTGAGAGGTGTTAAGTGTTGAAATTTACATTTGTAATTTTTTACTATATACCAAATTCTTTTCAATCTAAAAACTATAGCATGCATCATATAACTTACTGGTAACTGTCACAGAGTTATATAGGTGCTATTATTTTGTGAACTACTGGATTTGTAGTTAGCTTGGTCAGGGTAATTTAAACTACTATGACAGGATCTTCAGATTACTGATACTAAGAAACAGTATAAAAAACTCTGCAGCTTTTGGAATATTTTTGTTGTGCTTTTTTTGTGATTCGAGAACAGATTTTTAAAACATGCAAGCTTGGACATGCAAATAAAGTGAGATGGCACAGAGTAGACAGTTTTAGAAGTCCATGGGAACTCAGTTCTGTTTTAAAACTTCTGTCATTCTGGGAAGTGGGATACTAAAATAGATTGAAGATTGTAATTGGTACAGGATCAAAGATGGAAACTGACATGCAGGGAGTTGAGTTTTGTGTGTTTTCATCCCAGAAAAAGTTAATTCTGCATATATGGGGCTGATGCTCCTTAATTACTGTTACTCCATTATTGAGTGTTGCTTTCTTTCTAGCTCATCTTTCAGCAAATTGAATACTAATGTTTGTGCCATTCATACAAGAGTGTGTTGAGTTCAGCAGCATAATCCAAAAGCAAAGAAAACTTTGCTTGCTTTGAGAAGTGTATCAGAGGCCTCCATTTTTCTAAACAGACTCTCTGAATTTCAAAAAAGGAATTTTTGTCACCAGTAATCCGCCACTGCACTACCCTGGCATGGTGTGTTCAGAGCCATGTTCTGGAGGCCTGGTACCTCTAAATGTGTGTTTTATTAGAGCAGATGTGGTGGGTGATGTCAGATGGCACCTAGCTCAGTGCCTGTCTCTGACAGAAGCCAGCAGTCAAAGCCTGATGCAGAGACAAGTAATGGATGGGGTGGCCCATCTCTGGAGCTTCAAACTTTTTTTGGCTAAGAAGAAACTCTGAGCTTATGTAATAAAGTATTTATGATATGAAGTTCCTCTGTCTGTTGTTGGACACAGCATGCAAGTATGGGGGGGTAAAACAATGATTCTGCCCACTACCCTCACCCCCTGGACATCTAGAGTAGTCAAAAATACAGTATTTTATTTCTGTATCAAATGTCCTTTTAATGTCAGAGATACAATAGCAAGGTAATACTTTTGTTTTCTTGCATATCTGTCCACCTTTCTATTATGTATAAGAATATGTACATTTCTTTTGTAGCCACGTCATGAATACTTTAATGTACCAGTGTACTAAATGGCTTCATTCATCATGCATGCAGAATTTCAGAGGAGATAGACCTGTGACTTACTCATGACAGAACATTATCATCAGCTTGCTGAATCCAGTCATCCTGAATCTAATAGAATGCCACAACCATTCTCTGCTGTTGTACTTTCCTCTTCCCCCTCTGTTTTACAGTGTTGTCTCTTCACGTCTCGTTTCAACAAAACTTGTGCGTGTTGCCATATGGTTTAACATTTTTATTGTGTGTAAGCTTGAAGTCTTATGCTTAAGAGTTCTGTAGCATTTTCTGAGCTAAACATCTATATACTGCAATACCTATATTGTAACTTTACTCAACCCACATTTATCTTTTAAATAGGTGGTGGTGGTATTTAAACATACTCTTAATTTAAGACTTAAAGAGAAAGTAGTGAAGGAGAAGTATCATGTGAAATGTGTATACACACAAGTATTAAATGATGCTGAATTAAATTCTGTGTAGACCATGCATCTTAATTAAAGATGCAAATAACGCTATCCCTTTGTGAAGACTGGCACAATAGTGTGACTGACCTAACAAAAAGGAGAGGGCCATAACTGATTAGGTCAAAGAGAATAATGGGTAAATTTGAAATTAAAACATTAGTATTTAAGTGTGCAGAATGCTCTTGTGAGTAATTTAAGTTACTGCCACTGAAAGAGAGTACAGTACCATTGCTTGACAAATGAATAATGGAACCATAGAAACATTAGGGTTGGAAAAGACCTCTTAGCCTATTGAGTCCAGCCATTAATGATTAGGGTTGGAAAGATCCAAGTCCATTAACAGTATACTTGCAATATGCCTTCTTAAATTGGCATTTCCAGTTTTAAATGCAGGCTGCCTTGTGTATGGGAGAACTGCCACGCAGGGGAATATAAATGCATTCAGTTGAAAAGTGGGCAGTGAGAGGCCATGTAATGCATCCTGTTTGTAACCTAAAACCAGGCCTGATTCTGAAAATTGTTTCCATGAATTATCAAGGAGGCAGTTACTAAAATGAAACACAAACAAGCTAGTTCCCTGTACTATATGTGGTAATGCACTACCTTCCAAATGTTAAACTGACAAAAAAATTGGGAGATTTAGGGGATTAGACAAAAGATTTGGATTGGATTTGCAGCATTCTGAAATCTTAGAAAACAAGACCATGGGAGTGGTTTTCCATTTCCAAGTTTGCCTTTTTTCTGTAAGCCATTAACAATGTGTTTGGATGTCTGGTTAATGCTGCTTTAGCCTGCATTATTTCATGCCTGCTGGCTTAAAATGCTGTGCATTGAGCTGTAATGAGATGCTGTTTTTCTTGTTATCTGTATACAGCTGCTTGCTTCTAAATGACTAGGTAATGAATTAGCTTTTCTGGCATGTTTGAAATAAAGTATTGCATGCACTTTTGTCTCATGTGAATGACTTTTTTCCTCATCTGTGTTCTGATATTTCAAATTTGTTGTTTGCCTTGGGTGATTCTGAGCTGCAGGTAGTATATAACACTGCAGAATATTTTACCTAAGAATTGGATAAGATGTTTGACACTTAGTAAAACAAATAATGTGAACAAAACATAATTCATTCTATTTGTTTCTTAAAGGTAATAATTAATGAATTTATTCTTCTAGCAAAAGACATTAGCCTTTAGGTGTTCCTTGAAATTACATTGTTGATGAGGAAGGCACATCTGTTTCAAGATTACTGCTTTAGTAATAAAAAACATTAAAAAAAAATCTGAGTTCTATGGGTGATGTATCTGTGGACCAGTAGCTAATGTCCTTGAAATAGGTTGTTTTTAATGGTTAGCTAGTGACCTTGATTTACGTGAAGAAATGCAGTGTTTAAGTTTATGCCTGCTGAAAATCATCTCAGACTTTGAAATGGCAGTGAAAACAACAACACTAAACTGCTCTAAAAACAGTGGCAGCGCTGCTCTGCATGTTCTCACAGCTATGAAGAACTTGTTTTCAGGTAACTGTAAATGTTGTGTTGCACTCCTGTGTAACTCGTAAGTGCCCACTACTGTCTAATCAATTTAAAATTAAAAAGTGAATTTATTTCAAATATTTTGGGGACCTTGAAATGCTTGAGAAGTTGTATTCTTGTAGAATGCTCTTCAGTTCTGTTGTCATAGTTAACACTATAGGATTTCTTGAGTAAAATGCCTTACCTTGGTGGATAGGGGAGGTGTGTGTCTTCCAGAGTGAATGCAACAAAGTAATCTGGGAATATAATACCAAAAGTTATGTTAGAAATGCTACACAGCCATTTCTTCAGTCAGTGCCTCCTTTTGGGGTTTTGTTAAAATACACATGTAAATCTTTAATCCTGACATCCTCTCTGGCTTTGTCTAGGTCACTGCAGTTCCAAGAATATTTAAATATTGCATGTGTGAGGGAAAAAAAAACAAGCCAGCACTACATCTTTAATATACCAAGTATCTTGTTTTCAGATTTAACTTGCCTTTTTATTGCAATTTTTTTATTTCCTGCTGGATTTTAGAAGCCATTTCAATATGCCTGTTCCAAGCTCTGACTGATTTCTGATGAAGTTGACTTAAAGTATCATAGCTTGTTCCTTCAATGCTGAATCACCTTATACATGAGCTGAATGATTATAGTGAACTTGATCATTTTGTGCCACATAGTCAAGGCTGATAGAGACAATATTCTGATGTTATTTGCAAGGTTTGAAGTGTTTAATTTTGTGTTTTATAAACACTATTTTTCTAATAAATATTTGCAAAGCAGTTGAAAAATAATTTGTTGGCTGCCTTAACTGTTATCTGCTTTTTTTTCTGCTGCATGACATGTCTTGTTTTAGGATGCTAAAGTAAGTTTATTCATGCTCTTGATGTTAAAGCTTTTGTTTTGATACGGACACAGTATCCCCCTTTATTTATCATGGCATTGTTAATAGTTATTTTAAAAAAGGCTCCTAACATTTCTAGTTCAAACAATTTCTTTTCAGATGCTATGGAAGAAATGAATACAAAACTGATGATAATTTTTTTGGAATTTGGTATTAAACAACTTTCTCTGAATCTAAGGAAAGCTTTCTAAGATGAGAATTAACTTAAAACTTTATGCCTGGTGTAGAATAATAAAATTCCTGTCATAAAAACTCCTCCCTCTTTGAAAGGGGTCAATTTGACACCAGCCATACCAAGGTACTGTGACCTGATTTTGTTAATTAAAAACATGGGATCACTGTATAAAAAACCAAACCAAAACTCTTTTATAAAGATCTTAAGGGATACTGTATCTTAGTTGCATCTGTAGATTCATTCATCCACTTATTTGTTATTCCTGAACAGATTTTTTGAGACCCTTGAAACAATTCACCACAAAATTCACTGGCTCCATTGCAAGCTCCTTCCCCATCCTTCCCTAGTTCCTATCTCTGTTATTCACTTGTGATTTGTTCCCTGCTGGTAGATCTAAATTGTTTTATTTTTATTATGCTTAAGGGCAATAAAATCCACCAGCTATTCTTGTGAACCATGGCAATCTAATTAACAGCTCTGTGAAAAGTGCAGCTAATACCATGTTTGCAAACTGCAGTGCTTCCATGTTTTCATGTCTTTTCAGCTTTCTTTTTCAATTCAGCATCTTCCATACTAACTCATGTACCGCTCTGCTCAGTAGAAACAGTGTTCATTTACTACTGTCTCAAATTTTCCCTCCGTAGGAAGCAGAGACCCCACGTAGTGTACTTGAAGAAATTGGATTGACATAAATCTTCTCTTCAGCTGATGCCATCTCAGTGTTTCATACTGTAAATGTTCACTGCCTTCATTGTAATGTTTAGCTAATGGTGTAAGATGCTGTTTGTCAGTATTACAGTTTTGCTAAGCTGCTTCATTCAGGCCTACAAGAAAAATACAAAAATACTTTGTTTTGTAAAGGGAACAAGAAGCCTAAGTTCAAAATTTATAAATGAAAGGGAATTAGATTTAAATTGACTCAGTGTTTCCCTTCACTACATTTATAGGAAAATTGCATTTGACTTCGATAAGCCTACTGTTTTTTATAAGCGAACTTGACTTCAGGAAATAAATGTATTACTATGACATAAGCATAGCCTACCTAAATGAAAAGAATCTACATGGACAACTCCAAATATGAAATGTTCCGGTGTAGAAATTGTGTTTATGCAACCAAAGAATTTGTTCATCTACATTTTAGTCACCACTTGTGATTATTCTGCTTATTTCAGTTGTTGCATAATGATTGGAAATACCTGTTTACTACTGAATTTGTCATTATACCAAAGAATCCTGCCAGGATCTGCATATCAAACTGGTAAAAAACTGTTAAGGTGATAACTGCTTTTTTAAGAAATCTGATCAACTCACTAGACATGAAGGGTGTATTTTAGTGTAACTTCTTGAGCAAAACTGTGCAAGTTACTATACTTCAAAGGGAATGCATGTAGGAGAGAAGGAAAACCAGCCCAGACTGAATAAGGAAACTGTTTTTAGGTCTGATATTAGCTTGCTTTGACCATGAACACATGGAGGTCAGCTTTCTAACTGAATAGAGAGATGCATAATGAAAACTGAATACTTTGAAAGATGGGAAAGAAGAAGCTTTACAGAAGGGACCTTTTATTATTTTCTCTCAAAGTCTACCAACTAATTCGTATTTTTTGGTGTTTTGTAGTTATGCTTCATTGGGTGTATAGGTACCTTTAGGACACACTGAGTGTCAGTCATTTAACTGCTTTTCTTGATCAACACATTAAACGTGGTGCATCCCTTACAATACTCCTGCGTGATGTAGTTGAACTAATTGGCAGTGAGAGCTCTTAACCATTAGATTTGTATGGGATATTCACTACAAATCATGTGAACTGATATCCAGGAATATTTTGACACTTTGAACAGACTCTCAGTAATTAGGGACTGAGCCTGTTTCACTAGCAGAAATGTGTTCCCTGTGTGATTTTGAGGGAGACAGTGGCAGTCTACACCTGGGAGTAGCCAAGTTCTGTTTCCTGTCCCCTCCCTGTCCACCCAGACACCTTTCCCTGGGAGTTTTGACTTGTTCACCTGAGTGGTGCCATGTTTTCACAGAGCTCAGCTCTGGCAGTGCTGCTGCAGAGTGGGTTCAGTAGTACCAGCCAAAGGAAAGGTGCAGTGGTGCCACTTCTAAGCCCTGATCCGGACCCCAGCACCAACACTTGGGCCAGCAGAGCGGCCAGCCAGGCCCAGGCTGTGTGTGCCACTCCTGTGGCAGTGCCAGCGTGGTGCCTGTGAACTCAAGCCATTAGAACTTGTCTCTGGGTGCCCTTTCCAGGATTTATACACAGATTCTAGAGACTGTTTTTTGTCCCAGGGCATTTCCCCAGTGCACAGTGGGCAGGGGTAGATGAGGGTAGAGGGGTAGTGAAAGGACCCTGTGTGTGAGATTGTAGTGGTAAAATGGATTTAAGTCAAACCAGAAGCAATTTTATATGTATTAAACATGTTTTTAAAGTTTACACTGTCACTTGTATGTGCTTGGCTGGATTAAGCTTCGTTGTGATTGTGACAAACTGTTTGACCTCTGTCTGTCACATTGGTTTAGTTGTAATAAATGTCCATTTTTACACCATTACTGTGTTTATATGTAATTAGTGCCTGTATTCACAGAGGAAAGAAGAGGCCACTCAGTGCTGGCTTAAAAAAAAGGGAAATTTTATTACAGTGCTTAACCTGTTCTTGAGCACTTCATTAAAAAATGTTGAGGATACTGTGTCCAAGTTTAGTTATTTACATCCATTTAAATTGTAGAGAAAGGAATAAATTAGCAAGTTTTTGGAAAGCTTGCCACATTAAACATGAAATTTATTTAAGTAGATGTTAAATTGATGGGGTAGTACCACTTCATTTGAAAATTAAACCACATGTTGAGAGAGATTTCTGGATAATAGAGACTGAATATTCAGTTCTTTTCATAGAATTCTGAACAAGTCAATGCAATGTTTACAATCCTAGTCTTGACCAAAAATACGTCACATGAATCTGTTCTCCACCTTTCTAAAAGAACTGAACTGCTTGATGTTATCAGCAAAAGCATGAGGAAAAATTAACATCTTCAGGCATTTCTGAAATGAAATTCCAGGTTTTGAATTTCCTGTCTTGTGCAGAAGGGCTGGGGAAAGCTAAAGAAGAAGAAGGAATTTCTGGATTGTTCAGGCAAGTTGATTGTTGTCTTAAATGTCTTCAACTTCACTGACTTAAGTCTTTTACTCGACGAGGCCTTCCTGAACATGTGCTGTTCCTTTTCGGGTAATGAGGCCACAGTGATGCTCACCCTGTGGCTGCCTCTGTCAAGTTCCCATGTACCGTGGGTTTCAGTTGTCCAGTTTGCTTTGCAGTCTGTCCCACAGCTCAACATGTTACCTGTCCATGTCATATCAGTTTTGGTTTTCAGCCATAGATACCAATTCACCTGATGCGTCAGTGCTGAGCAGGAGTGTATGTGGAATAAATGAGGTTCGTTTTACTTAAAAGCTTACAGTGAAAGCAAAATGAGCTGCACTCTTTGGATGATGTAAAAAGTAAATTAGGCTTTTAGGTTATTAATTATCATAAACTTCCATCTTTCATGTTTTGTAAGAAGTGCTGATCCAGGACAGGAAGCAATAGCATCTTTTAGCAGGCTCTTGCATGTCTTTAGAAAAAAAACAAGTTATTTAGCGCACAGGAATGTCACTGGTAAACCAGAGGGCAGTTTCAGTACACTGAACGTACTAATGCAAAACTGGATGCAGAACAGCCATGCTGCCATCACAGGGCATAAAAGTGGGAGAGGAGTCACTTGGGATGCATTTTGGACAATGTGCCCTACACACAAAGGCTGGGGCCGGAGAGGGAAGGTTTTGCTGGGTGTCCACAAGAAATGCCTTGCATTCAACACACAGACACGTGCCACCCTCCTCAAGCCCTCCTGGGGGTTTGCTGCTCTGGACAGGCAGAAAGGGAATGAAATCCCACAGAAGTGCCCCCAGCTACAGTTGGAGGGAAGGCTCTGCTGTGAGGGGGCAAGTCCAGCTCCCTGATGCCTTAATTCTGCTGGGCAGCAACAGTGCCCATGCCTACAGGGGCTCCCCCTGTGCTGCTGCCTGCCGGGGCTGTTCCTCCTCCACTGAAGGGCAGGGCAGCACCTGCTCCCCATCCTGACTGAAGCAGGGCAGCTGGCAGGCCCTGGCACTGCCACCCTGAACCTCTGTGTAAATGCCAGAATTGCTCCAAAGCACCCCCATGATCCCTGCAGAATTCACAACTGAAAAATAAGTATTTTGAAATACTACTACTTTAAAATAGCAGTTGAAGACAAAACAAAACTTGGCCCGTATTAATTCACTTTATAAGGTCCTTTTTTGTGGAATATGCGCAATAACTCAATGGGAATAGGCTGTTCCTTACAAATTTAAATCCTTTCCATGTTCTTCTGGGGCTTTTTCCCTTTGGGAAAGAAAATAATTAGGCTTAACATAAAAAAAACTTCTAGTCTGTCTCTCCAGAATAAAACAGCTCACTCAAATAATAAGGAAACACAAAACCATGCATTTAACACTACTTAAGATTATGAAGCAGAGAAACAATACTGAAAAATACAAACTCCAAAGTTAGAAAACTGGTGGAATCCCAGGTTTCATGCTAACAAATGCAAGCTAAATGTCAGATCTACAGCACTCAAATTCTGTGTAATAAACAGACAGTGTATGAAAGTGCAGGGCAATCACAGCTACCAGTCCTACACTGTACAGGTACAGCCAGCACGTTTGCGTCCAGACCTCAAGAAAAACAAGCTGAAGCTTCAGCCACTGTAGTAGCAGAAATAAAGTATATTTAAATTTTTACATGCATTTCTGAGCAAGTTTGGGTTTTTTGTCGGTTTTTTTTTTTTTTTTTAAATACAGCCACTTAACTTCTCAAATCCTGTTGCAAAACTGTGGGGACAAGGAGCCTAATCACCTGTGGAATTCTCACATGGTTATTACTGGGCACTTAGTTTCTAATCCCATGGAGACTTGGTTTGCTTATTTCACTTGACTGGTCACAGGTTCCCACCACATTTCCTTGAGCTGCACAGCTGATTTTGCTGGGCTGATGCTCTCTCTGTGACATCTGTCCGTGTGACATGGGTGCACAGTGGGGGCACAAGCCAGCTCTTCTACCTGAGAGCTCTGGGAAGCAGGGCAGCCCAGGGAAGGGAGGGTGGAACCAGCCGGTGGTGGGCAACTGAACCAGAGTTTGCCACATGCAGTGCAAGTGACCCAGTGAGACAACTGAGCATCTATAAAAAAACAGAAACCTCAAGGAAAATTTGTCTCTAAGGAGTGATGAGAAAAAGGTACGTTATAAGAAACTGGCAGTAACAAATTTCTCAAATGGAATTAAAAACTTTGTGCTGTCTGTCCTTTGAAATATGTCTTTTAAAAAAGTTATTATTTCATAAGTTATGCTAATTAATTACAATTCCTACATCTGTTAATAACTAAAACATTTAATCAAATTAACTAAGCTACAGCTCTGCCTACAGTTATGACAATATATCATGGAAGTTGGGTTTGAACTGAACATCACTTTTGTTGTATTACTCCATATTGGACAAGTTACACATGAAGAAAGAAGGAAAAATATATCATCAGCATGCTAGGTGCACTATGCATTTAGAAAAGCAAAAATATATATATCATATCCAGAAACAATTTTCACTTGATCTTAACTATCCTGGGGAAAAACATTCTTGATGTGAGGAATGCTGTTGGTAAAGTTCAGATACCTAGATTTTCTAAGGGAGTTTATGCTGGGAATTGTAATGAATTCCTGTTTGGGAGCACTTCATGCCTGCTTTAGGCTTCTAACTCTTGGGGTCTGATTGGCCCTCTGAAGGCAGGAGCCCAGTTCTTTGAGGAAGCTAAAGACAGGGAGGTGTCTCTACAGACCATTACAGCACCTGCACCTTCGGTGCTACAAGCTCTCTGAGGACACTGAGGTGCCCAAGTTAAAACCTGACGGTAAAGCATGTGAAATACAGTACATCTAACAGCACAAATCTTTTAAATAAAAGTGAAAAGATAGTGGTAAGGATTTCTCTAACTGCAGGTACTTTGCTAATACAGCTGTCATTTCAAGGAGGTTTTGTCCCAGTAATTTCATTTTTATGTACCCTACTCTTCACCTTGGCTGTGGGAAAGCAAGGCAGTAGGGTGCCTTAAACTATTTGTAAAATAAACCTCAAAAGGCTCTAAGTGAAGTCCTCCTCTCCCAAAACCATGAAGTAGTCTTTTATGTATAAACCCTTCAGTTTCTTCAGCCACTCTGCAGCCATCTTGACTGAGCCTTCACAGTCCCATCTTTGGTTCCCTGATGGACACTTTGCACCGCTCCAGCACAAGTTAGGCAGGTCCTTTTCACCTACAGATGGTGAGCAACCAAGAGGTATGCAAAGCAGTTCTAACCTCACTCAAGGATTACAGCTGCATGGTCTCCAGTCTTACTTGGGGATTAAGGTACTGAATAAACTGATTGTTTCTCTGTGTACTTTCTGCCTGGTTTTAGTCTACTGCAATCCCTACAAGCCATCAGCTCAGCAGCTCAGTCAGGGCTGAGAAAAATCCAACACTCGTGACCAAAAAGCTCCTACTGGACCAGTACTGTACAATCAAACACAGATGTCTTTGAGATCCCTTTTCTCCAACTCATAAAACAATTATATTTTCTTTGTCTGGAAAGCAATTTCCAATAAACAGATGAAAAATACAAATGGCAATCATCTACACAGACCTGGATCTGCAGTGTGCTGGGGTGTGAATTTACTGCACACTGGCTGTTCTGTACTAACTCCTTACAGGAACAGTAAACACTTAACATACACATAACAGAAATAAGCACATACCAAAGAGGCTTCACTTCTCTATTTGCACTCAGTGTGCATCCAGGTGTTGCAGCTGTTCAGAGGGACAGAGTAGCTAGAGTACTTAGACATTCACACCTTCTACAGGACTGAAAACTTTTAAATTTTCTCAAGCTTTGCACACAGTAAACTACGTTCCTTTATTAGGAAGAAACATTTTAATGTGCAACAAAACTTTATTTGAAATTCAGATATATATCTGGTACCCTATTGGGAAGATTTCTTTTTCAGCTCTATTTTTATCAATTAGTGATTTCTGAAAGTAATTCTCACTTTGTTTTGGGAGTTTCACTATTTTTTCCTCTGCTGCTTGATCTCTTTTTACCCCTGCTCCTGGATCGAGAGGAGCTCCTGCTCCTGCTGCGTGTCCGACTGTGACTCCTGCTGCGGCTCCTGCTGCGGCTGCGGCCTCTCCTCTTCCTGCCCCTGCTGTGGGACCTCCTCCTCTCCCGGCTCCTGGACCGCCCCGAGCGGTGCCGCCTCTTGTTCTTGCGGCGACTCTTCTTCCTCTCCGATTCTCCGTTCCTGCGGTGGGAATGGTCGGGGCTGGGGCTGCCCCTCCTCCTGGAGCGGCTGTAATAGTCGTCACGATGGCTCGAGCGGTTTCTCCTCTCAGAGTTTTTAGACAACTGATGAGTCCGTTCAGGAGAAATACGTATGTCTCTGTTGGCCTCCCAAAACTCGTTGTT